AGTGTTACGGTCAGCCTACTGTTTGGTGCACCAGAGAAACAGAGATGCGGCACCCTCAGTGTTTGTTGAGTTTCCTAGGCTCCCACCTGCAGTTTCTTTCCCTATCATTTTCACATATGATTGTGCGAGAGCCTCTGTTTTCTCCCAGCACTGGTATTTGCATGATTTTTAAAGACTGATTTATTCCTAATGTAGGCATTTACACATTTTACCAAATTTATATAACGTTCCACCATTTACTAAAACATGTTCCTGCGTTTTTCAGTTAATGCATTTTCTTCACTTTAAAAAAACAACAACACGTGCATTACTTTGTGCTTTCTAGAAAATGCCCTGTTAGACTTGCAAATGCACAAATGCTTAGTTGTGTCTCTTCTTGCTATCACACTCAGGAAGTCAGAAACGCCACAGGGATCTTCTTTTCTGGAGAATGTGCCTTACAGGCATCAGTGTCTGTAAGCATCTCAACTTGGGTTGTGATAATTCACTGGATAGGATGAGAAGAGAAGGTAACAATATCTTAAAATCACAGCGTGACAAATCCCCTCTGCACACAGGTTTGTCCAGATGGTCCGTAATGATGAAACGTTTATCTCCCGTTTATATGACTGGTGAAATGAGGATTTCTCTGCAGCTTCGGGTTGAGTGTTGCCTAGTTGGTGGGCAATTGGAGTGTGAGAAATGGTCCACTACGGCGGCTTCTTCAACACGCGACGCAGTGACTGCGGCCATTGAATGCTCCTGGACAGAGCGATTGTCAAGCTCCAGCATTTCAAATGTCTCCTTGCCTCAGCAAGGCGTTTGCTTCCACCTACAGGAAGCAGAAGGCAAAACTGAGCCATTGTCCACAGTCTGGTCTTGAGAGATAACCAGCAGAAAAGTACCCTTCCAAAGTCCTTTCTCGTTGGCAGTGGTCGGCAGGTGGGTGCACTGATGCTCCAGAGACCTGTTGCTCTCCAGCCTCCCTTCCTTTATCATTCACTTGTGCCTCGCAGCAGTGCAAGCAAGATAGCAATATTTACATCAGCAAAATGTAATGGAGTGCAGCGTTTGCTCTGCACTGAGCGAAGCTCACTTCACTATAAAAATGCACAGCTCAGAAGAAATCTTTGTTGTTGTTGTGTGCCTTCAAGTCATTTCCAACTCATGGAGACCCTAAGGCAAATCAATCATGGGGTCTTCTTGGCAGGTTTCATCAAAGGGGGTTTGCCATTGCCATCCTCTGAGGCTAAGAAAATGTGACTTGCCCAAGGTCACCCAGTAGGTTTCCATTTCTGAGCTGGGATTCAGACCCTGGTCTCCAGAGGCATGGTCCAACTCTTAGACCACTACACCCCACTGGCTACAGTGACATTTTTGGGGCTTAGGTGGGGTGGGATGGATGGAAACTGGTATTTGTGCAGGTAGTCTTGGACTTCTTCAGCTATGAATACTCTTCAAATTTAAATAAACAGATCTTCATACACCCCTGCATCACACTACATAGAGAACTACAGTTGGCTAGTAGCACATATTCCTAAAAATGTCCAGGAGATATCATCCTCGAGCTAAGTTTAAGGGTTGATGTATACCAGATGGTATATTTCTTGCATTCATTGCAAGTCATAGTTCACCTGGAGAATGTGACAAAACTATGGGTAGGCATTAGCTGATGTGTCAGAGTTCAGAATTTACACAAATACATGATTCATACAAATTGCTAGTTATTACATGCATGGCAGCCCTTGGGGTTGACAGTTGGAAAGCTGTTCTTGCTACAAAGGAGTAGAATATTTGTTTGTTTCCAGGCTGACAATGAACTCCAAATTGGATTGATTTTATTTATTTATTTAATTTCTTTGGGTTACATACAAATCATGCTGCAGAAATTCTGGCAGTCATTCTAGGACCTGCCATATTTTGCTCCAAAGTCTCATATGTCAGGCTGCCCTTGAAAGATGTTCAGGAACTTTTGTTAGTTAAAATTGCAGCTGGATGATGGTTAATTGGTGTTTTCTGTACATATCACATCCCTCCGCTATCTGCCAGCTTCTGATTCGTTTCCAAGAACAATTCAGGGTGTTTTTGTTGATTTGTAAAGCTCTCACCATTTTCGGATTAAAAGGATTATAACAAAAAGCAAAACACTAATTGATGTCTTCTTTGGACTGTGAAGGTCTTTTCTAAATTATCTGGAGTTTGGGTTAAGCCTTGAGGTGGCCATGTTGATAAGAAGCTGCAAAAGGACCTCTCTGAACTGGTTGAATGGTTAGCAAGCGCACGGTTCACCGTAAATCAATGCCAAATGATCCACATTCGGTATATATAAACTTGTGTAATGATATAATCTGGTGACTGTTTAAGCTGGTAGTGATGGACTCTGAAGAGGAATTTGGGGTAGTGGTTAATAACTCAGTGAAAAACTCAGACGCCATGCTAGAGATGGTTAGGAGAGGAATCGAAAGTGAAGGTGCAAATGTTGTGATACTTTTATGCCGATCTCTAGGGAGGCCATAGTTGGGATGCTGTGCATTCCCTCAGTTTATTTTATGTCTGTTGAGAGAAACAGAAGCTGGGAAAAGTGGAGAACCAGAAGCTGAGGAGGAAACCTTGGAGGTTTCCAAGGGAAGCTGGTAGAACCATATCCTTGGCTAGTGGTATTCTCCTTCCAGACCTGCCCTGGCCAAAGGTTTCAGAAGCAAAGCAGCAGATGAAACATGGGGTCTGGAGAAGGCTTTCCAACACCTTTGTTCCCCAAGTTCATCTGCCCCCGGAACCAAGACAGCTTGAGGCACCTAAAGTGATGCAGCCCACATGAAGAAGGATGTTTGATGGTAGCATCTGCAGCCATTTTGTCAGCAAACTTCCATGGTCCAGAGATTCAAAGGGAGAAGAGCAAGCAGGACATATATATTTTCCAGGGAAACTTGCAGAAGCCTTTGGCCCTCAAGCAGCAACACATTTGATTTTGTTATATTTTAGAAGTATTGTGTTCTACCTTGAGAAACCTCCCCATTCTTAGTCTTCTTCTGATTTCCTGACTGCAGTCCCCATTTCTATCCATGCTTGATCCCAGGGATGGGAATTCTTTGACTATTTCTATTTCTTCATTGTCTAGGTTGAACTTGTGAAGGTCCTCGGTGGTCATTATTTTTGTTTCCTTTATGTTCAACATTAAGTCTACCTTTGCCCTTCCTTCTTGGATATTCCTTAGTAGTGTTCCAGGTCTGTGAGGTTTTCTGCTAGTATTACAGTGTCATCTGCATATCTTAGATGGTTGATATTCCTTCCTTCTGTGTCCAAGCCTGGTTTTCTTATAATATATTCTGCATATAAGTTGAACAGATCGGGTGAAAGGATGCAGCCTTGTCTGGCCCCTTTGCCAATTGGGAACCATTCGGTTTCTCTGTCTTCTCTTCTGACAGTTGCCTCTTGTCCTGAGTACAGATTCCTCATCAGGACTTTCAAATGGGTTGGCCACCCTATTTCTGCTTATATTTCCTCCGTCTGATTGCTTTTAAAAACATTTTTGACTGTATGTGTTTTCCTGTTTGAAGCTAGAGCTGGATGTTAAAGATGCTTTAAAATACAACTTGCATGTTTTAAGAGAAGAAGAGCCAGGGAAAAAGAGAAATGACAAATTTATGGTGGGCTGTCTTACGATGTTTGTTTTCTCTGACTGTGGGGAGAACTGAGTCTTCACCATAGGCATTTTTCCACCTCTGAAGTGTACTTACATTCCTTCCGGAGAATGCTAACAACACACTGGGACAGAAATTACACCAGATTAATCATGCCACCCTCACCAATTGCCCTCTTCTAAGGGAGAGAATGGGATGCTTTGCCCATTGTGTATCCTGCGGATGTTGTTATGGGTGCTGCACAGTTGCTTTTGTGCTCTTTTTGAAGAAATGATCTCAAAATGCCTTAAAATGCATTTCCCCAACATGTTGGATCATCGATGGATCTGCCTCAATTTTTCTCATTAATAGAGCATTTGAAATCATCAAAATGAAATACACTCACTTACTGACTCTAATGCTGATCTATGAGTGGTTTTTAATCTAGCAGTAGTTTCTTTGCATAAAAGTGTCTCATTTGTCTTGGGCCTGATGGGGTGATGATTGAGGGGCTTTTTTGGGGAGGAAGGGTCAGTATTAAATCTTGAACACTGGATAATAAAAAGAAGAGAGAGACTGAAATAAAAGTGCTTTAACTTTCATTTTGAGAATCCCCTGCAGCTCTTGAAACTTTACTTTTTTACTGTGCTAAGGAGAAAAAGTGCTCATTGCCTTATTGAAATTCTTGTGGAAATTGTCACCCCATAATATTATATTTGGCTGTGGGCATTTTGCAAGCTTTGCAAGTACTAGGAGAGCAAGTTAATTTATTATATTAATTTTGCTTCCCCCCCCCCCCTTCCCTTCCATATTCTGCCTTATTTTGCAGTGCCCATAGTGTAGAGGGCAAAGGTCCACATGATCCCATGTAGGTTACCATCATGGCGGTCATCTTTATGTAAAGCAAAGCAAGCATGGAAACCAAAATCCCAGACAGGAAGGGGAGACAGACCTCTTCTTGGGACATAGAAGCATTATCGGCTAGCCAAGGGGGACTCTTTTTGATGGATGTCATCATCCACCAAGAACCAAAACTCAACAACAACAGATTTGTGGCTGTCATCCTACAGTATTTGGGGGATGGCTTTCTCTTGGCTTTACCAACTTCAACGTCTCCTCTGATAAGGACACAGGAGACCAGGTTTTATCAATGGCTTCTCCTGGACTATGAAACTCCCTCCCATGGGAAGCCCAGTGAACCCCATCCCTGCTCTGTTTTTGCCACCAGCCAAAGGCCACCTTTTTAAAGGAGGTTTTCAGCCTTAAAGGAATGATTTCAATGGATGTGCTATTATATAATATATAATATAATATATGATTAATGTGTTTTAATTGTTTTAAATTATTTTTTAAATTGAATTAATTAATGCTTTTTTTAAGATTTAGTACCACATTCTGAGAATCACCATGGTGTAGTGGTTTGAGCATTGGACTATGACTCTGGAAACCAGGGTTCGACTCCCTGCTTGGCCATGGACACCCACTTGGGCAAGTCATATACTCTCGGCCCCAGAAAATGCCTTGGTAGATTTGTGTTAGGGTCACCATAAGTCAGAAATGACTTGAAGGCACAGGATGACAAAAACTACATGCTATTGTGATTTTGCTTTTGTTGCAAACTACGTGCTCACATACTGGGAGTAAGGTAGGATATGAATAAGTCATTATATAAATAAATATAAAATAATAAGATTTAAAAATTTAGATCTGTTTTTGGAATTCTTTGCTTTCTTTTTAGAGATAGCTCAGTCAAAATCATGTCTGATTTGGTGAATTAGTATCCCTCCTTCAAAGTGACTGAAAGGCTGAATTTGTCCTTTAGTTGCCTCCCTAGTTTCATTCTTGTCCTGCCAAGAAGCTGAAAGATGAGAGATCCGGGTTTGGTAAAAGGATAAAACTCTCACACAGGGCATAGTTAAGTGTTGTGGTGAGAGATCTTGACCTAGATGACCTTAAAAGAGGATTAGATCTATTCAAGGAGCAGGCTGGGGCCATTCAAGGCTATAAATCAGAATGGCTAAATACAACCTCCACTTTGTTGTTGTTGTTGGTTATTGCCCTCAAGTCAAGTCAACTTCTACATACGGTGGCCCTAAGAATCAGAGACCTTCAAGTCACCCTATTATGAAAAGGACCTACTCAGGTCTTGCAAATTCAGGATAGCTTCCTTGATTGAGCCAAGCTGCCTATAATGTGGTCTGTTTTTCTTGCTGCATTCTGCTTTTTTTGTTGTCGTGTGCCTTCAGATCATTTCTGCTTATGACAACCCTAAGGTGAACATCCCATGGAGATTTCTTGGCAATGTTTGTTCAGAGGGGGGTTCATCCAGTGGGTTTCCATGGCTGAGCAAGGATTTGAATCCTGGTCTCCAGATCTAGTAGCCCAACACTCAAGCCACCACACCACGCTAGCTCTGTCTTATGCTTTACTGAACATCATAATCTTTTCTTACAAGTCCAATCTTTTCATGATATAGCCTTCTAATAGGGAGAGCTCCAACTTCATTTGCTCTTGGACCCACTTCTTTGCCTTTGTGGCAGTCCACAGTATTTGCAGAACTTTCCTCCAGCACCACATTTCAATCAAATCAGTTCATTTTCTTCCTATCCATTTTCTTCAATCTCCGGCTTTCACAACCATACATGGAAATGGGAAATACAGTGGCATGGACAGTTCTAACAGTCTTCACTGCCCAACTTTCACTACCATACATGGAAATTGGAAATCCAATGGCATGGATGATTCCAACTTTGGTACTCAGTATTCTTCCAGTTTTCTGAGTGGCCAAAATTAAGATTATTTGCTGTCTCTACCCAAGGGGCCATGTCATCTTTATCTTATGATAGCAAGCTAAATGGCTACAAGACTTCCATTTTGAGGAGTTCTACGTACGTAATTGTTCCTAGGGATGTGCAAGTGAAAGAGCTAAAGTGAGCCAAAAACTTGGGATTGTTAGGTACTTTCCATTTCTGCGGTCAAGATGTTGTTTGCGTAGGAGTGGTGCACAATACAAGCGAATGAGCTAGAAGGAAAGAAATGAAGCAGCGATGAACATAAATCTGTCCTCCTGGCTACCAGAAAACCTACATGTAGTTGTAAACAAGTATGTTTTAGTGCAAGAATGGGGAACCTTTTCCAGCCTGCAGGCCACATCCAATTTCAGAGAGGTTCTCACAGTCCTTGTTCTAGTAGTATTATGATCGATGGAGCACAGGTCTGAAACAGTGTTAAGCATCTGAATAGCCTTTATATCTTCTTCTGCAGTCGACACAGCAAATGGGTTTTATTAGGAAGATTGAGGCAGGTATGTCCTTACGTTTCCTGTTCAGATGATTCAGTCTGCTACCGAAAAGAATGGATGTTCTCTAAAGTTTGTAGTCTCTTCACTCATACTCTTCCAACTATATAATTCTCCATATCTTGGGCTTTGTGTTTCCTTGGGTCATGCAGAAATTGCGGGGAAATGTTTTTTTGTGGGTTTTTTCGGCCTGTGTGGCCATGTTCTAGAAGAGTTT